TATATATATATATCTAATATAACGTAAGTGAAGGATATAGAAAGTTTTAGTAACGTGTTTAAAATTATGTATGATGTATAGCACGATACACTGGTGATACATTACTAGTGATACATCTTTGTATTTGAAATTGAAAAATCGTAGAGAAAGTATAAGGTGTAATCTATATTTTATTTCTTTCATATTAACTGGTTCGTACCATCTCTTACAAATGGAGATAAAAGATATAATTACTTTATCAAGACTAATAAATAAAACGAAAGACCTAGAATAAGCGAAATTAGCTTCGATCAAAAATCGTAATAAAAAAATATCATTTATGTCAACCATAAATCGTGAAACGATCTAAATAGTTTACTAAAAATGACGTTACAATACTGAGCAAAAAATTTACGAGTATATATTTAAATTTCCAATTTATCTTCAGCCAATATATCTTCGTCGTACATGGATACTAGTTTCGCTTATCAGTCTATCAAAATCGATCTCTTTCGGAAATAAATGTACTTATTATTAAAGTGATGTACAGATCAATAAGACATAGATTTAAGATTAAAATACTATATGTTTAATTATTATTATTTAATATTTCATTCTTTCATCAAAGATTTCAATGCAGATGAGCACAACTGCTCAAATGAGCTTTCATTTGTAATTTTGTTTTTAATTTCATCTCTCATCATTTATCATAATCAATTTTCCTTTTTGTGTGGGAAGCAGATCATTACCAAACTCTTATCGGAAGGAGATCTTTTGGTATATGAGCTAGAATTTATTATACATATTTATTTGTTTAATTGAAAAGTCTTCTCTGTAAACATTTTACCCTGTTCCAGTTCGAGTTAATTAAATTTAACTCTGCCAACTTGGAACCATGTCAGGGTACCTTTATGTTATTCATTTAAAAATATTTGATCTGTACACCTTGGCTAATGGTAATTTCTTGTAATTTCTTTTTTATATCATTTTCACTTTTTTTAAAAATAATTTTTTTACATATCGCATTTTAAATTCGTCACAGATCTTTATAGTTTGTACATTACTACTTGCAGTACAATAAAATTTATAGCTAAAAAATATCCTCCGGTCTTTCATAAACTTGAAAGAAATGTCATCAGTTGTTTGCAACCAATAAACAGAATAAACAGTATAGACAAAAAATATTTATTGATTCTTAATGCAATTATGATATTGATCCTTAATGCAATTATTTCTCATATAAAGGACATTCGTATAAATTAATAGATTTATCCTCAGATACTGACGCAATTATATTATTTCGCTGTGGATTATACTTAACTGACCAGACCTATTATAAAAATCAATTTATTAAAATTATAAATTAAACTTTTGTTTGATTAAATAAAACAATTATTTCATGTTTAAGAGACATACTTGATCCTTATGTTCACGAAATGTATGCAAACATTGTCTTTGTGCTAATTCCCAGATCTTGACTGTATGATCGGAACTACTTGATGCAAATTGCTGTCCATCTGGTGAGAAAGCCACACCAAGTACCCAAGAAGCATGGCCTGACATCGTTCCTGCTAGATTTGCATCTTTGCTAAATAAAAAAAGAATATAAAGCTTATCGATTTCTGTTTAGTAAAAAAAGCTAGAATATTTATGAAGATGCTGGATTGCTCTTTACTAAAGTAATAGTCTGTTCAACAAATTTGGGTTTAATTTCCATTAATTGCCATCTTGTATGTATGATACATAATTTTTAATAAGAATTTGCCTATGAAGGAAAATGAAATTCCTCTGTGAAACAAGTTATTCGAAAGACATGAACTTAATCCACAGATAATTAGGGATAAATTAATCATTATTCCTTGGAAAGAACTTTCAAACAATAATAATAAATAAAAATTAAAACAAACATCAGTTCTACAGAAGGGAGTTGAGCAGAAAGGTAATAGTCTCTTTCTTATTTATAATTTTAATGTATTTTTTGATTTTTTTTGTCATATTTAATGAATGATCAATACATAATTCAGATTGTGAATTATGTAATTTGTATAAAATTTGGGACTTTTGTGATGATCTGAGATGCCAGGGTGGATTTCAAAAATTTAACAATAAATTTTCGCATTCAATGATGCAGTAATTTAAAAAAAAAAAGAGAAAGAGAACAAAGAATTCTTGCATGACGGACATTATATTAATATTAAATAATTTGTAGACGATTAGTTAACAACGTAATATATTGTAAGTAACGTTTAATATCTATTTTTTAATTGTGATACATGAAGATGATCAGTTATATGATCGAAATATTTATCAATATATAGGATATTCGAAAAGAATAGGATCCCTCTATGATCTCCAAAAGTGCACTTTCAAGGAAAATGACCCCAAATAAAAGTTATAGGAATCATGAAGGGGACTTTGGTGACCTTGAATTATTGTTTGAAGGTCAAATTGAATTAATATTATATATAATTGTATTATCTTTGCGTTGTCTTTTATGCTCTTTTATCAATCTAATTTGTCAAATTACAGCATTAAAAAATCTATACATATTTATAGAGTTGGAAAATAACTTGTCACCGTTATCGTTTTCGTTACTTTTTTTTCGTTACAGAAAAAAGTAATAACGATCGTTACTTTTTTCTTTAACGATAATGTTATTGTATTTTCACAGAAACGAATTCACCCGTTATTTTTTACTCTACTCTCTTATTATATAATATAATTTATTACTTTATAACTATTCAATAGATCGTATTATTTTTAATTGGCTAGACATATTTTATAATACAAATTTAAATATTAAAAAATATTTTGCACTTTGCATTTTACACCTTAGGCATTCTGATAATCATTGTCAATATTGAAAATTTATAGTGCACATATATGTAACATGGACTATACATTTTTAGTATTTATAATATTATAATATTGGAATGCCATTCTTAATAACGACATAGATATTTAAAAACAATGCTTAATAAAAATTTTTATAAATGTATGTTCGTAAATTTACAATTTAATTTCCTAAAGATATAAAAAATAAAAATATAAAGAAATAATTCAATTCATGCTCTAATGAATAAATCTATGAAATAAAATGTTTTTTAGAGCCAACACAAGTTAATGTATATATAAATATTGTATATATAAATATTCTCTTTATTAAAATACATAAATGCATGTTTATCCTGTTTTATATCCTCTTCAACAAGAATATCTTTTGTTTTATTTTTTTATCTTATTCTATTTAAAAAATATTATTCATGGATAAAATGACAAAATTATTAAACTAGTCAGATACATTTGTGTAAAATGAATTGTTGTGTTAAAATGTTAATATATTGGAGTAAGCTGGTCAAGAATGATTATTAAGTACACAATTTTATTAACTTAATATTCATTGAACTCCAAATTAATCAAAGAGAGGAGCGCACTTGCACACAATTCAATTCCACATACTACTCGCATCGGCCTGTTCCTAGTAATTTTTCACTGCTTCGCCAATGAAATTATATTATTTTAAATTAGCCAATTATAGTGGACAATTGATGTACATTCATCAAAGTATTGATCGAAATAAAAAACTTTTTGTTGCAACTCAAACTGTCCATTTAAATGAAAACGCTAATAACTGACAAATACTAACAAGTACTAACAATTCAATTATTATAAATATATAATGTCTACTTTAATAAAAAATATTTATATACACGTTAACTTATGCTGGTTCTGAAAGGCATTCAATTTCATTAAAAAATTATATAAGATTTATTAGATATAAATTTAATATAATGAAAAGCTTACTATATAGAGATCAGCTCAGAATTTTAAGTTTTAATATTGATTGTGATGATTAATATTGATTATTACAAAATGTAATTTTAAATTTAACATCTTACTTTAATATTACAAAAGAAGTAACAAATCATTACTTTATAAAATTAATACAAAATAAAATTAATAAGAAGTTACTATGTTACAATTACCATTACTTTTTACAAAAAAATAATGGTAATAGTAACATGTTATTTTTATGAAATAATGTTATTAATCCTGTATATTTATAAACTTTATATAAAATTTACTCACACATCATATAGTTTCATATGTCCATCGTCAGATGCTGTAAGAAGCAACTGAGAGTCGGGTGAGAAACATAAAGATCTGATAGGCATCGCATGACCTAAATAATATAAAACATAAAAATAGAATATTTTATGTCACTGTTATAATATATTTGGTTCTACCTTCCAGGGTACGTAAAACTTTTCCATAGGCAACATCGAAGATATTAATAATGCCATCTATTGCGCCGCTTGCAATATATTTACCATCAGGACTCTGTGAAAAGCAATCTCTTATATACAGTTACATGTATCATAGAGTGAATTCAAGATGGCAAAGCGACTAACATGCTTACTGAGTGATTGTACATGATTAGTTGGATCTATAAATAACAATTATAATATGTTCATTTGCTCGGCGAGCAGGCTAGCTGCTTTGTTAACTTGAATGCACCCACAGATTTTTATGCAATGTACTTACATAGGCTACACTTAATGTAAATTTTCCACCTCTTGTATCTAAAGTCTGTTCTTGTTTACCATTATCAGTTCCATATAGATGTATCTTACCAGCGTGACTGCCAGATACAATGAATTTATCATCTGGAGAAAAGACTAAAGTCCAAATGTCTACTGGACCAACTTCAATGTTCAATAACTTATCACCAGAATATAAGTCCCATAATTTCAGACTCGAATCAAGTGAACTAGAGGCACATTCTATAAATTGATGATAAAACATAATTCTAAACTATTTAATATATATTTTAAGCTAATATTTCTTTATTTGTTTACTTGATCCATCTGAGCTAATAGCTATGGATACAACTCCTAAGGAATATCCAGTTAACTTATGTTTTAACTTCAAAGCACCCTCCTTCAGTTCCCATACTTTCACAGAATCATCCACAGAAGCTGTTACAAGATATTCTGCTGTCTTGTCTTCATTAGACTGTACAGAATCACTGTCAAGTATAAACCTTGTCATTAAAATAATTTTTTTATTTATTGTAACTTAACTGTTTAATTACCGTGAATCTTCATTATCCAGATGTTCTTTCTTCCTTTTTGGACAACCCCATCCGCAAGTCCATATACTATCCTCATGGGCATTTTCTGTTTTATGAGTTAAAGCATACTAAAAAAAAAGAGGTAATTGTTTTCAGACGTTAAAATTGTTTCAAACAAAAATGTTGTCTCTCGTCATTACACCTCACACAACTTTGTCTAATATTATAGAACTTGGAAATTTCGTGATACATGGGAATCGTTACTAAACCAAATACACGACGATTAATCGAATGACATTAGCTCAACTCTTGCTAAAAAATGTGTCATTGTATGATCTGCGTTCATTTTTGTAATTAATTGTAACAAGTTCGCTCAAATCTGTATTGACCACATTATTTTACATACTGAAGATAGCCACATCTTGGCTGAAACGTTTATGTTTATTATTAGTTTTTGATTGAATTTTAAATATATAATTTTTGCTAATGACATTCCGCGTGTGGTTTTTTTACTCTTTTATTTATATATCGTATAATTTAAGCCATGTTTAATAAATTTAATTTAAAGAGGTAATTATTTAGCTACCTCATCTCCAATTTTAATGAAATTAGAATCATTGACGCTCGTTTTCACTCAAAACGAAAGAATCTAGAAGAAAAACGCGGCGATCGACCGTGAATTGAGTTATTAAGTATTAAGTTATTAAGTTGAAGATTTTAGAGGTTAAGATATCATTCTGATTCAATATAGTGCTATGTATACGTTCTACTTTAATTACACAAATTCACTGCTACAAAAATACATTCACTGCTTTAAAAACACAAATTCACTAGTTTTAAAAACAAAAATTCACATACTTTAAACATACAAATTCTTTGCATTAGCAGTGAATTTGTGTTTTTTAAAGCAGTAAATTTGTTTATGAAAAGAATTGTATTTTTAAAACAATGAACTTATGTTTATAAATTTGTGTTTGTGAAGCAGAGAATTTGTGTAATTAATGCACAGAACATATACATAGCATATATTGAGTCAAGATGACAGATATCTTAACCTCTAAAGTCTCTCTAACATTAAATAACTCGATTAACGACGCCGATCGCCGCGTTTTTCGCCGCCAGATTCTTTCGAATGAAAATGCATCGAATGAGACTAATTGCATTAAAATCAGAGGTGAGGAGTTATTCTAAATAATTATCAAAAAAGAAAAAAAGATTGATAGATACTCAATAAACAAGAGTGACACTTATTCTTACCATTTTAATATCTAGAAATAAATTTTCAAGCGGATAGTAAATGTTAAGAATATCCCGGTCACCGAAAATTGTGAGATAAAAATATACTTATAGCGTTTTTCGGTCCGACCGGGTTTGCACCAACTTGGGTTAGAAAATGCTTCGCTATTGGTTGATGTTACAAACCAAATTGGCTCTACCAATAGGACAGCATGAAACATCATTACTTCAACCCAGATTAGTGCAAACTCGGCCGAAAATGTTATTAATCAATGTGTTTTCGAGTGTTGCAATCTTTCTGTGATCAGCTGTATGTGTGATCCGATCTGCAGGAGTTTAGTTTCCTATGTCCCATGGAGCGCTTGCAAATGCGCAATCAAGCCAATGACAAATTCCGGTGGATTTAATAAAAGTAATCTACGGGAAGGCTTCCGTGAGCCTTGGTCACGCCAGCGGTAATTGCGCTGAGCCAGCGCTAATTGCGCATTCCAGAAATTCCGCTCCATGGGACATAGGAAAACACATTTTAGCAGAACAGAATCGGCGGAATGAAGTCACAACCAATAATAAACGTTTTTCCAATTTTCCGCATTGCGCCAATTCCGCACCACTGGGACCATATTCTCAGGCCGGATTCACGGGAAAGCAGAAGCCAATCAGAACTCGCGGAAAGACAGAAGCAGACAAGCGAAATGTACCGCCTACTACTACTGCGAGCTGCGATTGGCTTTCGCTTTTCCGTTTTTCCATCAAAGTGTGAATCCGGCCGCAGGGTGCAAACCCATGTGGGCAAAATAGCGGAATGAGAGCAGAATCAATCACGAGCCACAGTTTTCGTTACGCGGTTTCAAATCCCTTCATTTCTATGAAACACAATGAGCGTAAGCGGAATCAATAATAAGTCCATAAATGACGTTTAAATATTGTATTTGTCATTCATTTTTTATTATCATGTATCTAAGTATAGAATTAAATGCATTTCTCATTGAAAATAATGATTAAAAATGTTAAAATTTATGAAATTAGTCTTAATGTAATTAGTCTTAATGTGATAATTTTACGAAATAATGATTTATGATTGGTTGCACAAAGTCTGTGATGCGCTCATTACGCTACATAAGTATTGGGGATTCACATTTCAACGTAACAAAACTGCCGGAATAAGGGTCTGAGCACAAAAAGACAATAGGCTAATATTTCGTAACACTTACTTTAGATTTAAGTAGACGTAAGTAACGCACAAATTTTGGCGTATGACGTATGATTTATTGCCGTTTCTTGGAGAGACACGCCAAAGCTTGTGCGTTATTTATGTCTACAATTTAAGACTAAGTGTTACGATAATTCTTGTGCTCAGACCTAATAACGTGATGAGTACAGAGATAAATTATTAGGTAATTATCCAGAAGACGCTCTTCATTTTCAATTTCAATGAAATTATGCTCGACGCGTTTTTGCATAAAACGAAAGAATCTGACAGTTAAATATTGTGCCTAATCCCGCGAAATGAGATTTAATCTTTAAAGTTGACAATTATTTAGATTAGAAAATCTGTCATAGCCATGAAACACTGCGATGCGAGCATACGCACATAATACTGCGTCGTTTTAATACGTTGAAATATGCACCCCCAATACCCATGTAGCGTAATGAGCGCATTGCAGACTTTGCACAACCAATCATAAATCGTTATCTCATAAAAGTTACAATCACATTAAAACTAATTTCATAAATTTTAACATCTTTAATTATCATCTTATATTATTATTTTCAATGAGAAATGCATTTAATTCTGTACACTTAGATACATGATAATAAGAAATGAATGAGAAATATAATATTAAAACGTCGTTTATGAGCTTGCTGTTGATTCCGCTTACGCGGAATCTTCTCGTGATTGCGTTCCATGGAAATGAGGGATACCGCGTAACGAAAATTGCGGAACACTCATAATTGGTTCTACTCTCGTTCCGCGTTCCGCTATTCCGCTGCATGAGTTGCACTCTCTGGTAACATGACTTTGACGCTTCAAAAGGAAGAAATTGGATTTTTCCAACGTCAATCGACAGTGTATAGCATCGTGCAATATAAATGTTTTTTTAATGAGATAAACATGAAAAATGTAAGTAAAACAATATTTTCATTATTAGTTTATAGTTAAAAGATATTTTAATTACGATAATAAAATCAACAATGCAGAATGCAGCAAGTCCATTAGAAAATCTAACTTATATAGGATATATTTTCTAATAAATGATATTAAAATGTATGATATTAAAGTTCTTTATTAAATGATATTTTTTACAACTTTATATGTTTTTTCAAGGAATATAGAATTGTACACACTTGCGGAATGTGCGAAGAGATATGTAAAATCGAAAATTTAAAAAGTCATTCTTGAAAAATTACAACTATTTTGTTGATGAAAATACTTTATATTTTTATCGAGTATTAGGTAAATTGACTTCTTATTCTATTTTAAGAAACTTATTTATATATTTTAATATAATATCAGTAGAGGAAAGACTACTATTATGAGATACTGAGTTCATTTTGAGTAAGTGCTAGAAGTTGGGTAAATGCTATAGGTATAATTTAAAAAAATAATAGGTCATTTTGGAGAAAATTTAATAAGATAACGTTATATAAAATTTAATTTAAATTCCATTTTTTTTTAATTAAGAAGAAATGAAAATTAAAGAAATGTAAAAAGTGAGCAAATCACAAAGTCACAAAATTGTGCTCCTAATATGAAATGCCCTGAGAAATTGATAATAAAACGCGAAATATATCGGTATTGCAATTAAAAAATTTTATTTAATGTTTCTAAAATACAAACAAACACAGCCAGCGTGCGCAAAAAAGAGCATGCGATAAATTATACCCAAAATTCGTTTTCAGGTAGTTGAAATCTAGTATCGCAGATATAAACGATGTTCCGATTGTCTTTTTTATTATTATACAATAACATTTATACTTTGGCAACGATTTTTCACTATAACATAAGAGCATGAGTTATTTCATATTAGGAATAACCTATGCTCTTATGTTACATAATATAATCTCTATCTTATATTACGCTTTATGGTTTTACGATCATCAAAGCTAACTTCTGTAATTAAACAATTTAACATCCTGTATTTTTCTATTTGTACAACCTTACTCTATCTACTATATGAAGAATTTATTGCCAAATATTTATTTTTATTAAATAATAAACAAGGTTTAAATGTTCATCTTAATCTTAATGAAACTTGAAGAAATTCAAAATCTTGTTTTACAATGACTACAGCCATGATCTAATAAAAATTGAATTTTCTACTAAATGGTTTTCAATCAAGAGCAATAAATTCATTGTAGAACCAATAGATAGCGTTTATTAGTAGAAACGCCACTATCTCATTAAGCGCCTATTTCATAATAGAGGGCTTTTCTCTATATTTCTCTATATTTTCTTTATATATTATAGACGATGGCAGTACAATTATTCAATGTAATATAATTAATAATCAGGAAAAAAAGTGAAACCATTCCAAGCTAAATTATACCTAAAGGAATCTAAGCAAACAAAAATTGTAATATTTTATATTTATTAATTACTAATCAATAATGTACTAATGTTGTAAATTTTGTAAATATTTCTATTTACTTTATCAGGAAAAAATAACTTAATACTAATTGTGAATAACAAGTAATAAATGATGTATTTTTATGTTCTGTTTGTTCTTGAAATAATCCTTAAATCTGTGTTTGAAATCTTGGTTCGATCTGGAATTTTGATTTGTTTTTATTTTTTTTATTACTATGTAGTCACTTTAATTATTCGTTTTAGTTATTCTCTCTCAAGTATTTTTATATAAAAATAATTATTTCAGCAGTTACATCAAACAAAATTATATCATACAAAAGAACGTCCACATCAAAATTTAATTTTGATGACGAAGAAGTTGAAATATGGTAGACTATAGTGAAACTATACCATTAAAAGAGCAAAATGGAAAAATTAAAAAACAATTGTGGGAGGAAATTGTACAAATTTTAAATAGTAAAAATAAAATAATAAGTTTTTTTCCAAGAAGACTGATTAAAAACTAGTCTTGGTAAATAAAATCTTCATTACAGGAAAAAATTTAGTTCGGAAGAACTAAAATTAAAATTGAAAAGTCTTTATGATACATTTAGAAAAATTATTTTATTTGACAAGGAAAGTTTTTACAACTGTCCGGAACCGATTTAATTCTTCACGAAATATGTTGTAAAACACAAAAATCTAAGAGACGTATTTTTTTATACGTGCGCTAACTCATATTTAAGGAATGAAACACCCGTTTGAAAAAAAAACAATATTTTTCTTTCGAGCTGAATATCGTCGGAAATATAAATAAAAGGTAGAAAAAAATTTTTCAAACAAAAGTTGTACGGTTTCAAAAGTACTTTAAAGTTATAAACAAAAAAAATTTTTTTTATTTGTTTGTTTAACAAAATATTCCCATCACTCATAATTTTCTTAAATTTTCAACTTTTTTTTACCAAAAGATTGTATATTTACAAATTCATGTATAATAAAGCCATGTGTAATAAAATTACATTACGACATATCATTTTTGAGAAGTAATTATTAACGCTTCTGTATATACTATCCATGCTCGTATACATAAATAATTGTCGTTGGAACAATAAAATATATAAAAAGATATCTTAAGTAAAAT